AATATATAGAGTAGATTACTATTAGATTTTAAAAGATATCTATTGAGTAGTTCTCTAGATCTAGATCCCTGTCAATCGCGATTTTTGGTGAGATTTTGACTGGCCCACATACTGGGGTGGCCCGCTTACTGGTGAAACACGTTAATGTTAGTGTCATCAGAGTCTGTCTGGCCCGACCCTCACTCAATCTCTCTTCCGCTATCTTTATACGCGGTGCTGCAAGTGCTTGGTTTCAAAGCTCTTCCCTAGATTGGCGAATCATCCGACTACTACAACTAGTGGACCATCCCTGACGGCACTACCCACATCTTTGCAGCTCTTCTATTACTACTTCGTCTCTATACCTCACAGAGTAGTATATCTACTTTGTCAGCTCGTTCCAGGTTCCTTTCACCCACCAACTTTATCGTTTGGGCGCGGAACCTTTCTACAGTGCCATGGCGACTAGTGCTCAGCCCGAGCACCTATTCCAGCCACTCTTCGCCCTAACCAACGTGCTCCCAAAAGTAGCCAATATCACGCCGTGGCAGGGTCGACACCCGCCACTAATATCAGTCAGCCTGTCTCTTGTACTGGGCATGAAAGGTCCGAGGTGATGTTGTAACCAGACTACCTGGACCATGTACCAACTGCTCAGTCGATGGTGCTGCATGCTAATTGGCTGAGCACAGGTAAATTCTCCGTTTCTGCTGTTCTTGGAGCGGAGACACAAGCACTTGCCCAGATACTGACTAGACGTATGTAAAAGAGCTAGACGAGTCCAGTCCGCAGCGTCCAGACAGGTAAATGCGACTAGGCACTCGTTCACAGCCACAATATACTCTGTACCATCTCCATCTAGATATCTTCGCCAGCAAGATGGAATATTAATTATGACCAACCCACACGTCGGCGCTGGCTCTGTCAACAGCGCTATATCAGGCGGCCCCTCAATGACCGTCCAGATGCATACTCCAGTTCCGTTCCTCACTTCCAAAGTCGGTAATTGGAATCTATACTCGCTAAATTCGCCTGGTGTTTTTGATCTTTCTATGCTAGCTGCCATGGGCGGTGAAAATCCGACGATTGCACGATCCGAAACAGTTTCCACTTTTGACGATATCTTTGGACTAGATTTGATTAGTGGCCATGATATGGTAGCTGTCGATCCTATCTTGGCATGCGATCATCTTTCATCGGCACTGGGGACGCACCCTTGAGGACGTGTATCTGTACAATATCACTGCTAGTCAATTCCAATTTCGCAATTGCATTGTTATGTATACTCCATGATTTCAGCTAAGCTGATTCATGGCCATGACGAACTGATGTAGATAGTATCAAGCAACGAGTTTCACTATGGTAGATACGAGTACCTTCACCTTCACCTGCACTGTACTATGAGTAGCCAGATATACGAGGTACCAGGGTCAAAGAGGGATACTATATAGACTAAAAGCTCATAATTTGGATGATATCTCTGCTGTCGGGGAAGTTCTCGTCTTAGACTTAAGATCGGAGAATAGTTTTGCCTAAGTTACGCATAACCCTGTGCATCGGCGTAATACATCTCCACTTACTGGGTACAAGTTTGACTTTTGCACGACCTTTGCGTGGTCTTTGCCATCCTATAGCACAAAAGTAACTTACTATTCTCCTACAAGCGTGAATCAATTTGGGGTGATGGCCCCACTAATGCCGACGGGCCGAGGCACCCCGGCTTCGCCGGGACCTGTGTACATGGAGACCGAAATAGTGGACAAAAAACATCAACCCATCAAAACAGAGCCGCTCTCTGTAATCGGTCGTCTTTATAACCACACATTTAAGACAAAAGGTTTACGCCAGGGTGCTAGAAGCTCATGCACGTCAGCAGACTATAAGAAAGCATCGTACAGTTCTCTTTTGCTGACATGTAGTTGTCTAGTATCAACATTGTGCTGTTTTGGTTAATGCAGTTTTGTCCAAGTGTTTTGGTCTAAGAGAGGGATCGACATACAGGAACTTCTTTCGATATAGTGTATTCCATATAGTAGTCCTGATTAGTGCCACTGATCACTATGCGAGAACCGAGTGCAATAGTAGAACCTGGGCACTCTATGAGGCGCTATGTGCCGAGGGGAATTACGTCAGTGGCAGCTCGGGTAGTACGCTGTACTGCAGTTATACACGTGACTGGTGGGGAAAATAGTATTACAAATCGCTGGGTTTTGTCACATTGATATCACATTACTAAGCTCTTGTAAAAAGTGCAAAAACCTAAACTCAAATAGCCATCCCTTGTCAAACTTTGACCAAACCATGTTCTCCAATCATTGAATGGTCCAAAGTCGCAAGCATCCATCGCAACTACCGAAAGTAGTAAACACATGACAATGGCTTCCGAAGTCGCCGCCGTCCAATCACCTTCGCTTGAAGTTCCCGCCTCAAACAAGGTTGTCACTGTTCGCATAATCGACACAGGACACAGGGTATCTGTACCTGCGGGTTATTTTATGGAACCTCATATTGACGATCATGAAATCATGAAATCTCCTGAGTTTTCATTTCTGGTTGAGCATTCGTCGGGCAAAAAGATTCTCTTCGACTTAGCCACTCGCAAAGATCCTGAGAACTTTTCCCCTGCTATCCGTCAATCAATAGCCGCAGGCGGTTTAACCTTCGAAGGCGACAAGGATGTTGTAGACATCCTCGAGGAGAAAGGCATAAAGAGGGAAGAGATTGACGAAGTCATTTGGAGGTAAAGTTTTTCGCCGATGTGCAAGAACTGATACTAATAGACCTGGTAGTCACTGGCACCTTGACCATGTTGGAGACATGTCACGCTTCCCATCCAGCACAAAACTTATCGTCGGACCGGGATTCACGAATGCTTTAGTTCCTGGCTATCCTACCAACGAGCATAGCCCAATATTGGAAAGTGACTACAAGTAAGACATCTACCGCTGTGCATACTTTGCTAGCCCAAAAATACTAAGAGCATTGTAACAGAGACCGGCCTTTGATCGAACTCGATTTCAAGGGCAACAATGCATTGAAATTCAATAATTTTGATGCCCTAGATTGGTTTGGGGATGGGAGTTTTTACATTCTGGATGCTCCAGGGGTAAGTCGCAATGCTATTCATGATCCCTTTGCTTGCTTTCTTCATCACAGGCATATGAAGCTAATGTAATCAAAAGCACACTGTGGGACATATCTGCGCACTGGCACGGACTACTCCAGACACTTTCATCTTCATGGGTGGCGATACCTGCCACTATTGTGGCGAGTTCCGGCCAAGCAAATACGTTCCTCTCCCTGAGGTAGTCACGCCTTCGCCTTACTCCACGCCGCCATTCGCCCCAGGAACTGAATGCCCGGGAGCGCTCATCTTGAACATTCATCCGCAAAAGTCATCCACAAAACCTTTTTACACTCAGAAGGTACTAGAGGAGGGCCTAATGCAAGATTATCCAAAAGCGGTGGAATCAGCAGACAAAATGTCTTCATTCGACGGAGATGAACACGTCCTGGTTTTGGTTGCACACGATGCTTCAGTGCTGGACACATTCGAGTTTTTCCCCAATCATGCTAATAATTGGAAAGAGCGTGGGTGGAAAAGTGCTGTTCGCTGGACGTTCCTCCAGGACTTTAAGTTGTGAGGGGCACACACGGTTCATCTTTGATTTCAAGTAGCTTCGAAAGTGTAATTCTGAAAGTCTCTAAGCGTCCTACTAATTTTTTTTCAAAGATATGAGCTGGCCAGAATGCCGGATAGTACTTAAAATGTATTTCACGGGCAAGCGACAAAGTCATTCTTAACTCCTGCTTACCTTCTAGATTTGAAAACTTTAGACCCTGAAAAATATCTTCGCCTATATTCTTGTTAGCCAGCGCAGAGAGGTTTTCTCTAAACATAACGTACTACCTTTTTAAAACCTTTCCCAACAAACAACCTACCATCCCTCCACTCGTTTCTCAACACAACCAAAAGCCACCTGCCTTCCTCCCTCCAACCCTGTAGTAACTCTCTACTATCCTCCTTGACCTCCTGCAACAACCCCTTTCCCTCATATTTTATAACAGCCTTCAACTCTTTCCCCTCATACTTCAACATGCCCCAAACCTCCAAACCCTCTTTTTTCAATACTTCAGCCAACCGAGCTACACTCCTCCTACTCGCTTTCTTCTTCACTTCCTCGTACTCACTCGGCGCCTCCTCATACCTATAAAATATAGGCAATACCTCTATCTGCTCTTCGGCAGGTACCTCTGGAAGGCGCTTCTCAACACCCACGTCCACTTCCTTCTTTCCCTCTTCTCCCCCCTGCTTTACAGGAATCGACTGCTGTACATCAACCGAATGCCGTACAGGAACCGAATGCCTCACCTGAACCGACTGCGCCACAGGAGCCGACCACCGTACAGGAGAAATCGATTGTCGTACCGGAACCGGCTTCCTCCGAATCAAAAACGCCCTCTTCACCTCCCCCTCCACCTTTCTCTCCTTCTTCTTCTTCTCCTCCATTCTCACACCCTTTTCTTCCTCAAGCATCTTCCTCTTCTTCTTCTCCTCCTCCTTACCTTTCACTTCCACTACCTCGTCTCTACTCACCATCTTCTCCAGCATCTCCTCCAACACCTCCCTCACCCCTCTCTCCTCCTCGCTCTCTTCCTCTTCACATCCCACATCCCCACCACCCTTCTCAACCTCCTCCTCCTCCTCACCCCCCTTATCCACACTGTCGACCACCACCACCACCTCAGCGCCCACGGAATTCGCAGCAACATCCCCAGATCGATACGACAAAAGCGGTTCCCCATCCCCATCCCAATCTACAAGCAGCGTGCCCCTCGTCCCGGGTCGAATGGCGTTATCTTGCCATGCCATGTGTTGATCGATGAGAGATTTGAGGTCTGATGAGTTGGTACGAGCGTGGGGACGGGAAAGTCGGGGGTGGGATCGGGATAGACGAAGGAGACCGGGGTGGATGTGGGTTGAGGTGTGGTGATTTGGATGGATGTGGGTCGAGGCGTGTTGTGGATGAAGATGAGTAGTCTGCGTAGTCTGCGTTTGCGTCGGGAGAACCATTGTTTAGGCTTGATCCCCCCTCCAAAAAATCAATAAAAATAAAATAAATGGTGATATAAAAAAATATTAATCCTGGTTTACAAAATACTGGGGATATTTTTTTTTTTGAAAAAAATGTCAGGGGGTGGTTTAAAGGGTTACGTCTTTCCGATCATTTTTTTTTTATAAAAAAATACTTCAAAAAAAAGTTGCGATTTTTTTGGAGGTAGGTAAGGGTTTAATGGTTCTTTTGGCTGACGATGAGATGGTGAGACTGAGAAGAGGGGGGGGGAAAGAGGGAAACATGGTAGGGGAAGGAGTTATAAAAGGCAGAGAAAAAAAAGGACGTTGTGTATGTAAGGATTTGGAAAGACATTGTATGAAAACAGTAGAGGTGAGATGGATAATTTTTTTGTATATGCTTAACATTGTTGAGAAGTAGGGTGAAGTGGAAAAAAAACGTCACATGACCCGTCAATCACCCCAACCAACAGCCAAAAGAGCGAAAATGATACAGAAATCAAATCCAAAAAAAATCATAACTAGAAAATTAAGTATACATTCATGGGCCAGTAACTATATATCCCCACAACGCGATAGCAGACCTGAAAAAAGAGCACGTGACCATATCCTCCCACACCCATCCCTTCCACCCAGATGTATTATAACCGCCCCAAATTCTCTTTCCCAATCTACCTTGCAACCTAAGTGTCCTCCCATCCCACCAAGAGAGAGAGCCTTTGCGAGATATGCCGATGAACAAAAAATTACACATCAAATTTTGCTACGGAGGAGACGTGTCACACTGCAAGGAAAGTGGTATAGACCAAAACAAGAGAGAGAGAGAGAGAGAGAAAAGCAAACTCCATATTAGGAACGATGAAACAGTGGGAGGGATATGACGCAGAGTAGAGCAGTGAAGAAAAACCCCCGGGTATTACCACGCTCAATCCGTCAACGTTGTCATCTTTAGTAACTAAAAATGACTAGCGAGGAGAGCAGACAGGCAACGAAATGGATAAACCGTTTAGTTCTTGTCCTTACCGGCGAGCTTGTCCTTGAGCTTGCCGAAGAAAGAGCGGCGCTTCTTCTTCTTGTCGTCAGCAGCAGAGACAATGCTCTGGCTGCCTGGCGTGCCCTTGGGAGACACGTCAGAGTCTTTCCTTGGGCTCTTAGCCGGGGCTGGGGCCTCTGGTGCCAGTTGGGCTGAAGGTGCAGAGGTTTCGGTATCTGGCTTGGCATCCGCTGAAGTCTCAGCGGCAGCGGGCTGTGTTTGCTCAGTCGAAGCAGCTTCCTTGGGGGCAAAGGCGACGTCAGTGGTGGAGTCAATAGGCCTTGACTCGGCTGGCTTGGCAGTCTCGGTTTCAGTGACAGTCTGAGGCTCAGTGGAGGACTCGACTGGCTTAGAGTCCACGGCTGCAGAGCTGGGAGTTGGCTCGCCATTAGCGTGGACTGGTTTCACCTCTTGGAGCAGTTCGTTCTCAACGGCCTTCTTCTCACTAACTGCCTCAGCGTTGCTGGCAGCTTCGGGGCTGGCGTGGGCCTCCTTCTGGCTTTCAGCTACAACAGCAGGCACCTCACTAGCCACTGTCTCAATGTTTGTGCCAGGAGCGGTGGCCGTGGTAGCGGCAGTAATTACAGGCGCAGGCTCGCCAGCTTCCTCGGCCTTTGGCAGCTTGCTGAGTAGCTCAGACTCTACAACCGCCTTTTCTGTGACAGCCTCGCTGTTGGCAGCGGCCTCGGGGCTAGCGTGGGCCTCGTGTTGGCTCTCAGCGACAATCTCAGGGACGTCGGGAGATACAGTCTCGGAGACGGCGGTAGGAGCAGACTCTCCAGTTGCGTTGATCTTGGGGACCTCGCTCAATAGCTCAGATTCGACGGCTTTCTTCTCTGCGACCACCTCGGGGCTTGAGGCTGCCTCAGGACTGGCGTGTGCGGCTTGTTGGCTCTCAGAGACAATGGCGGGGACTGCAATGGCGGGAGCAGGCTCGCCAGTCTCGTTCGTCTTGGGGACTTCGCTGAGCAACTCTTGCTCAACAGCAGACTTCTCTGCAACAACCTCTGGACTGGCAGCCGCTTCTGGCTCAGCGTGTGCGGTGTTTTGGCTCTCAGCAACGACGCTGGGTACCTCATCGGCAGTGGTTGTGCTAGGTCCGTTCAAACCAGTGGTCTCGGCAATCTTGTCCTTGGCAGTGTAGACAGCCGCGGCAAAGAGGCCTGCGCCAGCGGTGGCACCAGCAGCCGCAGTAGCGACTGCGGCCTGAGCATGGTCACCGAGAGTGGGATCTTGGCTTGTGACAGGTGCTTCAGGTACAGTCTCCTTCAGCTCTTGCTCGACCTCCTTCTTCTCCTGGACGGCTTCGGCATTGGCGGATGCTTCTGGCTCGACGTGAGCCTGCTGTTGGCTCTCAGTCACAGTCTCGGGGACGCCACGAGGCTCCTTGGGAACCTGACCAGCAAGCTCGACAGTTGTGCTTGTAGGGGCAACCGATGAAATGGTCACGCCAGTGTCTTGCTCAGTCTTAGCATCGACTCCCATTGGCAGGCTGGACTCGGGGATCAGGTTGCCAGTGATGGGAGGAAGACCAAACATGCCACCCTTGGCATCGCGCTCGGCTTGAGGAGTAAAGGCCAGAGGGGGAAGAGCATCAGCCTTTTCGTAGGAAGCGGGGTCGGTCTTGACGGTGCTCTCGACGGTGTTGGAGGTGAGAGTGCTGGGGTCAGGAACAGGCTCGCCAGGTGCAAGGTGAATTGGGTTTCCGGTGCCGGCGGTAGCTGGGATGGGGGCAACACCAAACGTAGAAGGCTCTTGCTCGGGTTCCTCGTCATGCTTGACGGTCGACTCTACGGTGTTGTTGGTAAGAGTGCTTGGGTCGGGAACAGGCTCGCCAGGCGCAAGCTTAATGGGGTTGCCGTTAGTCAAGGTAGCGGGAATGGGAGCGACATTGAAGGTCTGGGCCTCGCCTCCGGGTGTCTCTGCGAAAGGTGTCTCGGGGAAGGCACCAGGCAGGGCAGAGCTATCTGTGGCGCTCTTATCGCTCTCCTTGGGCACCGCACCGGCAAGCGCAGCGGTCGTAGACTCGGGTCCGACCGACGACAAGGTGTTGACAGGCGCCTCGTCGACAATGTCCTCGGGGTAGAGGACATTGTTGATGATGCCATGGCCGTCGTCCTCTGTGCGGGCGGTCTCATTGGTACACCAGTTGCCGTTCACGACGAACTAGACAAGAGAGAGGAGTTAGCAAAGTCTGCGCGACAGGCTGCAGGCGGCAGCGGGTTTGGGGGGGGGGGGGGGAGCCGGAAGTGGGCGCGCGCACCTTGTACTGGGTGTGAACCTGGGGCAACTCGACCGTCTTCTTGAAGACACCATCTTCCAGCTCAAGCTTGACTGTCTTCCTCCAGTCATCGAAGGTGCCAGTCACGTAGACATCATTGGCGGCGTGTTCCCTGGGAGCGCATTAACAATTAGCTGTACGTGTAGGCAGGGCTCAGACAAGCGAACCAGGTAAAAGTATATTTGCCCATGTCAGCGCAGCAGGAATAGGCGATTGGAGAAATGCGATTGTGGTAGTCAGGAGAGAGATGGGTCGGAGGGCGCAAAGAGCGGGCAGTTTTGGAGGAGGCTGGTAGGGCAGGATCAGGAGCTCGGTTCGGGTGGAGCTAAATCAAGCGGCAGCGCGCGCTCGGACGGTGTTTGTATGCACGACAGAAACGCTTGCAGTTATGGGGAGGAGAGGGACAGGAGGCGAATTAGGAGCGCAGGCGCAGGCGCAGGACAAAGGGATTATGGCAATGGGGGCGCTGGGGAGAGTGAATTGGCGAGGCTGTTCAGTCTGCGCGCGATGCTGCAGTCGAGGTGCAAGACTGGAGACGGGCGCGGTTAGCGGCGTCATTGCTTGGCGGGATGCCGTTGATGGCGCGCAATCTGCAATGACACAAGCGGGAGGGCAGAATCAGAATGGCGAGCAAATGCACAATGACGAAAGCCTGCGTGCGTGTACCTGTGTGGCCACCGGCCACTTGATTGCGGCCAGGCTGGAGAGTGTACCCGCCCACGGTTGGCACGCACACGGGCGAGTTGTGCAGTGTGAGTGCAAGTGGGCGGCGCAATTGGTGCTGGCTGCTGGGGGTCATTGCGCGCGCGCCCGCAAAAACGAGAATACATCATGGCCCCTCCCGCTCGCAGCTCGCAGCTCGCAGCTTGCAGACACTGAACCATGTCGGCTGCCGGGCACGTGACGCTGCACCCACCCACGCAAGCGGCCAGAGTGCGTCATCGTCTTTTTGACACGTGCATTAATTCCACCGTGGGCGAGCAGCATTGCGTCGTGCGCATGCACGAATACGAGAGATTCCTTGCACAGACCAAAACACCCCCATTTCCTCTTCTTGCATTGCTCGTGCTCGCACATGTCTCCAGCCTGTCTTGGTGCACTCACCGCCATCGCCATCGCCATCGCCGTGGCCTGCGCCATAGCCAGGCTGTGGCTCACCGCCAGTTGTGTGTCAGCCGGCCCGCCCATGTTTGGTCTGCAAGACGCATGTATCAAACCGTCTCGAATAAAAGGTGAAACACGGCAAGGCTACTCAGCAGAACTGGTGGACTGGTGGGCCGGACAATCATTCTGTCCCTGCGTCTGTCGATAGTTTGCCCGCCCGTATCTTTGCACGCGCTTGTGCTTGGGTGAGTCTGGGGCGTCGTGGTGATGCAGTACTGTATGCAAGATAAGGCTCATTTCGGTGCTTTACTGTCCACTCCCTCTGCAGCACCGCCTAATTACAGGCAAAGGAGCTGCGTGGCTACGAGCAGCCGACAAGCATCGCCTTTGTCTGGCCTTGGTTGACCATTTCATACTATGCCTGCCATGTGAGCCCTCTCTGCTCTGTACTACTATTACTACTACTGTACCTACCTACCTACCTACCTACATATATACATACTACACTCTCTCCCACGGGCACTGGGGCATTTGCATTTGCATTCCCCCGCCACCGCCGCAAGCTCCCCTGACGCCTAGCGT